TGTGTGTGTCCACATATGGTTGCCATTGATGGCAAGTTGTGTGTACTTGCCCCTGAGCAATTCTGTGTGCATCTCAGGAACAAGGACATTGGCCCTCATTATTGAACCCGCGGAGATTGGCCATTCAAACACTGCTATCGTCATCTGATAAGACCGTCCACACTGTTGTACCCAGATTTCTTCCTGGCTTTTTCTTCTTTAAATTCAGGATTCCATCTGGTGGTCAGGCCTCTCTGGTCTCCTGTAATCTGTAACAATCTTTGTTTTTATTTTTCCTGACTTTGACCGTCTTGTAGAAGGCCTCAGTCTGGATTAATCTGTTGCTTTGTGATTACATTCAGGTTAAATTTTTTTTGGCAAAAAGCATTTCTGTTTTCCCTTGCACCCCCTCCAGGAGGCACATCATCTAAGTGCACCTCGTCGCTGGCCAAGGTTGGTTACTTGGTTTAAGTGGTTCTGCCTGATCTCTCCATGGTAAAAGTACATTTCTCTTTTTAATAGAATTACAATCAATGTCCTCTCCACAATCCGTGGAGTGACATTCTAGGGCTATAAAATGTTCTGGTTCCCAACAACATTTTCCCCAGTGCATGCAGCATCAGTGATGCTCTGTGCCTCACGCTGTACCAGTGGTGCTACGGCGGGCTGTAGCCCCGTCGTCCCTTCACTTATTGCCTAGTATTCCTCAGCGCAGACCACCTTCCCCTGCCCTGGAACTGGCTACCCCATTTGTGAAGCCCAGGACACAGTGAAAACGCATGGCCTCCTCCCTCGAAAGGGAATTTTAAGGTGGCGAACAGCAGGGTAGGAAACCAAGTAGAGCGCTGTGGGGTGCTGTAACGCTCCCCAAGAAGCAGGCCCCGCCCAAGGACGTATGTATGCATTTTGGCATCCCTGCTCCAACTCCCCGTTGAGGCCCACAAGAGCCCCCCAGGCTGGCCTCTATGTCTTTTTGACATGTTATCAGTGTCGGAGGACTTTGGTCCTTTCTGCATTAAGATGACCCCTGCGCTTACTTTTTCTCTCCTCGCCTC